TATTTTAAAAACCCAACTCTTATAAAATCCCTAAATTTTTAGCGCTACATGAAAAAGCTCTTCACTCCAATTTACGAACACCTGAACGGTATAAACGACACTTTCAGTTCGATCCAGCATCAGGATCAGATCCTGCTGAAGACGATGGTGGTCGAATGGGCGTGCCAGTACCAGGTGTCCGATTGCGTACCCCGGGCACAGTCCTATTTCAGTAGGTGGCGATCTGAGCCTAATCCAGACGAAAACAACCCGATTCCGATCAACTTTCGAAGCTCTGTGTACTGCGCTGCAATAAAATACGGTACTGATGAGGATTGGGATTTCCTCTGGTCGCGGTACAAAAATTCAAATGTGGGAACCGAAAAGCAGGTCATTTTGGGTACTCTTGGTTGCTCGAGAGAAGTTTGGATATTGCAGCGTTATCTGGAGAGGGCCTTTAATCCCAAAGGAGGCATTCGCAAGCAGGATTCCTCGCTTTCCTTCCAAGCAGTAGCCTCACGGGAAGTCGGAGTCCTGTTGGCCAAGAAGTACCTAATAGATAATGTGGATCTTATCCACAAATAGTAAGTTCAGTTATTATTGAAAACGAAGTGGTATTACGAAGAAATTCTCTTTCAGCTATTATCCCCAGACAAGAAGCATGTCTCGATTTTTCTCGCAACTTTCCGAGCAAGTTATTACGAAGAGTGACCTGAATGGGTTCAGAGCCTTCGTTAACAATTCTCGACAGTACCTGAAGGGCCTTAGTCAGACGATTCAGCAAAGTTTGGAGATAATGCTGACCAATGTGCAGTGGATGGAACGAAACTATCACCAGTTTTCCCGCTCCATTCAACAGCACTTATAGATTGTTCAGTCACCTTTTCCTCTTAAAACCCTTTTTAAATAAACAACGTTCTATAGTATTATATGCGTAGATCAAAAATATAAAAAGTGTACTTTTGAGATGGGGGATATATTTGGTCTTTCTATTTTTACAATCCCTGAAATTATTTAATTTTAGTAAGATCTTCATAACCATTAAAGTAAGAATTTTGTAATAAATAAAATGTTAAAGTCAATGTTTCAAAAAGGTTGTAGGTACCTGTTTCATATAAAAAGCTTTAAAATCTTGAACTGTAAAACAAGCCAAAGAGTAAAAGAGAGAGTACACGCCTGTTTTTAATTTCTCAATTCTCTTTCCTCTTTTAGGCAGGGCGCTCCGAAACCGTCTCCTAACTTATAATATTTTCTTCTTGATCTATAAACTAATCGCATTCGGTCTTCGTCTCCGTTGCGTTCAGAGGTGTAGTCGGACAAGTACTGATTTTAAAAACTCATAATAGTTGTAAATATATAATTTTATAAATTAAAAAATAATGAGAGTTGTTTAAAAAGTTTAGTCATATAAATAATAGATTCTCACCCCTTATTTATTTCATTCAATGATTGTTTTCGAGTATATAAGTTCAGTGGTCTTGTTATTTGATAAGAGTAATTTATATATACAAGGCATTTACGTAATGAGAACTAAATATTAATCAACAGTGAAAATGAAGCGCTGACTAATACTAAAAGTTGCACCATTGCATTTATTGGAAAATGTACATATAATCTCATTCATAGATTCGGAATTCGCGATTCGGGAATGGAATGGTTCTCATTTTTTGTGGTTGGCCTTTGGCTGGGCTTAGCCATGGCTAAATCAGAGTCCAGCTACAACTACTATCGACTTCCGACGTCTTTACGACCCCAAAAGTATTACTTGAGTATTCTGACCAAACTGGAAAATCCGGAGGATCTTCGGTTTAATGGAACTTCAAAAATTCTAGTAGAAGTTTTAGAAAACACAAATAACATCACATTGCACTCAAAGAATCTGACCATCAATGAGTCGGAGATCACTCTTCGTCAAGTTAAAGGTGAAGGAAATCCGGACAACTGCGTGACCTCCACAGCGACGAATCCCACCCATGACTTCTATATCCTTAACACCTGCCAGGAGTTATTGGCTGGCCATGTCTATGAACTGAACTTACCCTTCTCAGCTGAGTTAAACCGACAACTTGAGGGCTACTACCGCAGCTCCTACTTGGATCCTGTGGCCAATGAAACGAGGTAGGAACCAAGTATGGGAACATATATATTATCTTCTTTTTATTATGATTTGCAGATGGATATCTATTACCCAATTCGCACCGGCTTCGGCACGATTGGCTTTCCCCTGCTTCGATGAGCCTGGACATAAGGCACCCTTTATAATCACATTGGGCTATCACAAAAATTACACGGGTCTGAGCAATATGCCAGTGAAGGAAACTAAGCCACAGTAAGTTATACTTTCTTTATTATTTATTTACTATCTACTATCCTCACAGTGAGTACCTTCTGGATTACATTTGGACGGAGTTCCAGGAGTCGGTGCCGATGTCTACCTACCTGGTTGCATACTCTGTAAATGATTTCTCCAACAAGCCATCAACATTAGCAAATAGCGTCCAATTTCGGACCTGGGCCCGTTCTAATGCCATTGATCAGTGCGATTTTGCTGCTGAATTTGGACCCAAAGTTCTGCAGTACTACGATGAGTTCTTCGACGTTAAATTTCCGCTTCCGAAGATCGATCAGTTTGCAGTGCCCGATTTGAGTTACAATGCCATGGAGAACTGGGGTCTGGTGACCTTTAGGGAGTCCAGACTCCTTTTTTCTCCAGGTCATTCCTCTCTGGCGGACCAACAGATGTTGGCCTATGTAGTGGCCCATGAGTTGGCTCACCAATGGTTCGGCAATTTGGTCACAATGAAGTGGTGGACTGATCTCTGGCTCAACGAGGGATTCGCCACTTACGTGGGCAGCTTGGGTGTGGAGAACATCCATCCCGATTGGCATTCAAAGGACAGAAGTGCTCTTGCCTCTCTTATGACCTCTTTTCGACTGGATGCTTTAGTAAACAGTCACCCAATATCAAGGCCCATTCAAATGGTGTCGCAGATTACTGAAAGCTTCGATGAGATCTCGTACCAGAAGGGATCTTGTGTGCTGCGTATGATGCACTTGTTTCTGGGAGAAGATGCCTTCCGATCCGGCTTAAAATCGTATCTACAGTTATATGCGTACAAAAATGCCGAACAGGATAATCTTTGGGAGTCCCTCACTCAAGCTGCACATAAAAATGGAGCGTTGTCGAATAACTTCGACATCAAGACAATAATGGACTCTTGGACGCTGCAAACTGGGTAGGACTTTACTATGATCCTCAAACCAATTAGCATTAAATACATCTGGTTTTCTCTCAGCTATCCCTTGGTCAATGTAACCCGTGACTATACGGCAAAAACCGCTAGGCTCAGTCAAGAACGGTACCTCCGGAATACCGCTATATCAAGATCCGAGCACGGTGAATGTTGGTGGATCCCACTGAGCTACACGACCCAGAATAAAAAGGACTTTAGTAACACTGCGCCCAAGGCCTGGATGGAGTGCAGCAGGACTGGCGAAAGTATCCCCAAGACCATTCAGGATCTGCCTGGACCCGATCAGTGGGTGATCTTTAACAACCAGCTGTCGACACCTTACAAAGTGAACTACGATTCTCAGAATTGGAAACTTTTGATCCAAACTTTAAACAGCGAGGAGTTCCAGAGCATTCACGTGATCAATAGAGCTCAGCTTATAGACGATGTCCTGTACTTTGCTTGGACAGGGGAGCAGGACTACGAGACCGCACTGCAGATGATCAACTACCTTGAAAGGGAGCGGGATCTTCTTCCTTGGAGATCAGCCTTCAACAATCTAAAGTTGCTGAATCGCATACTTCGACAAACTCCAAACTTTTTGTTCTTTAAAGTAGGTGCATATCCTCTTCAGAAAATCGACCATTGATTATAAATCATCAATTTTCAGCGCTACATGAAAAAACTCTTAAGTCCAATCTACGAACACCTGAACGGAATGAACGACACATTCAGCTCGATCCTACAAGAGGATCAGATCCTTTTAAAAACGATGGTGGTCGATTGGGCCTGCCAGTACCAGGTGTCCGATTGCGTACCCCAGGCACAGTCCTATTTCAGTAGGTGGCGATCCGAGCCTAATCCCGACAAAAACAACCCGATTCCGATCAACTTTCGCAGCTCTGTGTATTGCGCTGCCATAAAATACGGTACTGATGAGGATTGGGATTTCCTCTGGTCGCGGTACAAGAACTCAAATGTGGGATCAGAAAAGCAGACCATTTTGACTACCCTTGGCTGCTCAAGAGAAGTTTGGATTTTGCAGAGTTACCTGGAGGCGGCTTTTGATCCCAAAGGAGACATTCGTACACAAGATTCTTCGCTGAGCTTCCAAGCAGTAGCCTCTAATGAATTGGGCTTTATCCTGGCAAAGAAGTTTTTGATCAACAATGTGGACTTTATCATCAAATAGTAAGCAAAAAATATTTGTTTTTGTTTTTAAACCCGATTAAGAATCCTACTTTTTAGCTATCATCCCCAGACAAGGAGCATGTCTCGACTTTTGCCACCTCTTTCTGAGCAAGTTACTACGGCGAGTGACTTAAATGAGTTCAGGAAATTCGTTTACGATTCGAGAGAGTCCCTGAAAGTTGTTGATCAGGCGATTCAGCAGAGTTTGGAGACAATGCTGACCAATGTGCAATGGATGGAACGAAACTATCAACAGTTGTTCCTCTACATCCAGCATCATTTATAGACAATTCAGTTACTTTGTTTAGAATCTCTAAAGTCAACAGAAAAAATTATAAACATTTCAAATTTTTCAAATAAACCACTTAATACCCTAGTAATATATGAACAGATTATAAATTAAATAATTTTATTTTTGTGTGGGAAGATATATCCATATTTTCACTATTCACTTACAAAATGAGGACCAAAAAAAAAAAGAGCACACGCTATCATTTATCGAAGGCAGGTCGTTTCTGTGAGCCCAGACATAGACAATAACACTCTGAGAGAAAGACTAAATCTCTGTATCTCTCTCTTAAAAGAAAGTCTGAGCGCGTTATTGTTACTATATGATCAACCCGATCTTCATAAAGGCATCATTCGGACTTTAGATTCCGTCGTGTTCAGAGGTACAAATAATTTTTACTCGAAGTGTGTTTAAGTCCTATTTTTAATCGCATCTTAAGATAACAAAAAAAACAAGTAAATCACAAAACTGGACAACAATGTGGCATTAAATATTATTAAATTAAAACACGCTGTTGAATGAAAATAAATTTTATGTGACGTGTTACTAATACAAAGATATTATTAAACGTATTTCTCTTTACTGGGTATTGATCGGGTTATTCTAGTGATTGATGTATGTATATATGTATAAGTGGGTCGTATTTAGATTATTTCCAAAACGTAATATTTCTCATTGTGAATTAAGAACATAGCGAAATAAAAGAACTTTCAACTTATAATAGTTTAAAGGGCTAAAAATTGTTTATTAACAGAAAGGAAAATGAAGTGGTGCCACTTATTTCTAACTGGCTTATGGTTAGCGACGGCCAATTCCAGCTATAATTATTATCGACTGCCGTCAGTCCTTAGACCTCTAAAGTATGACTTGCGCATCTTAACGCAGCTGGAAAATCCGGAGGATTTTCGCTTTGGCGGAACTACGAAAATTCAGATTGAAGCTCTGGAGAACACCAACAACATTATTTTGCATTCGAAGGATCTGACCATTGATGAGTCCCAGATCACTCTTCGTCAAATTAGCGGAGAAGAGAAAAAGGATAACTGCGTAACCTCCACGGAGGTTAATCCAACCCACGACTTTTATATTCTCAACACCTGCCAAGAACTTTTAGCTGGCCATGTGTATGAGTTGAATTTGCCCTTTTCGGCCAAACTAAATGACCAATTAGAGGGATATTACAGAAGTTCCTACTTTGATTCTGCGGCCAACGAGACGAGGTGGATAATATGACAATATAATATGGGTTTTCTTATTCTCTCTGATACTGTGCTTTTCTTGCAGATGGATCTCCATTACACATTTTGAACCAGCTTCGGCTCGATTGGCTTTCCCTTGCTTCGATGAACCTGGCTATAAGGCACCCTTTGTGATAACCTTGGGCTATCACAAGAAGTTTACGGGTCTCAGCAACATGCCCGTGAAGGAAACAAAGCCACAGTACATTTTATTTTACTATATACTAGGAGTATCAACATATAATAATCTGTCTTTTTCTTTCTTGCAGTGAGTCTATTCCCAATTACATATGGACGGAATTCAAGGAGTCTTTGCCGATCTCCACCTACTTGGTAGCATATTCCGTGAACGATTTCTCCCACAAACCTTCCACCCTACCAAACGGCGCTCTTTTCCGTACTTGGGCAAGGCCGAATGCCATCGATCAGTGTGATTATGCCGCAGAGTTTGGACCGAAAGTTCTCAAATACTATGAGGAATTGTTCGGCACTAAGTTCCCGCTCCCAAAGGTCGATCAGTTCGCCGTGCCCGACTTTAATATTGGTGCAATGGAAAACTGGGGCTTGGTTACTTACAGAGAAACTGCACTTCTGTACTCCAGCGAATTTTCATCACTAAAGGATAAACAGGAACTTTCCAATACAGTAGCTCATGAGTTGGCCCACCAGTGGTTCGGAAATCTGGTGACCATGAAGTGGTGGACAGATCTCTGGCTTAAAGAAGGTGTGGCCACCTATGTGGCTTCTTTGTGCGTGGAATACATCCATCCGGAGTGGCGTTCAATGGAACTAGAATCGTTGTCCAACTTGCTAGCCATATTTCGAAAAGACTCCTTGGAGAGCAGCCATCCCATTTCAAGACCCATTGAAATGGTTTCCCAGATTTCTGAGAGCTTCGATGAGATCTCGTACGAGAAAGGATCATCAGTTCTGCGAATGATGCACCTATTTCTGGGGGAGGAGTCATTCCGGACCGGTCTAAAATCGTATCTAGAAAGGTATGCTTATAGGAACGCGGAGCAGGATAATCTATGGGAGTCACTTACTCAAGCAGCTCACAAAACTGGTTCTTTGCCCAAGGACTTTGACATTAAAACCATCATGGACTCATGGACTCTTCAAACCGGGTAAGTTTAAATATCTCAAGAAACCGAAATTTCATGTATTTTATTTTACAAGCGCCTTATAGATATCCCTTGGTTAATGTAACCCGAGACTACGCGGCAAATACTGCAAAACTCAGTCAGGAACGCTACCTTCTAAATACCGACAAATCTAGAGCCGGAAATGGATGTTGGTGGGTGCCACTTAGCTATACCACTCAAGAGAAGAAGGATTTTAACAATACGGCTCCCAAAGCTTGGATGGAGTGCAGCAAGACTGGAGAGAGTCAAACCAAGACAATCCCAGACCTACCAGGGCCCGATCAATGGGTGATCTTCAACAATCTTTTATCATCGCCTTATAAGGTCAACTATGATGCCCAAAACTGGAAGCTACTTATAGAGACCTTAAACAGCGAACAGTTCCAAAGCATTCCCGTGATTAACAGGGCCCAGCTTATAGACGATGTCCTGTACTTTGGCTGGACAGGGGAGCAGGACTACGAGATCGCCTTGCAATTGATAAATTATTTGCATCGAGAGCGAGAGCTTCTCCCTTGGAAATCGGCTTTCGAGAATCTAAAGTTACTGAATCGCATTGTCCGACAGACACCAAACTTTCAGTTTTTCAGGGTAAGCTCCATAAGAATTTATTAAAGATACAGCGATATATTGAAACCTCTTATTTTCAGAGTTATGTGAAACAGCTAATCACACCTATATACAAACACGTGAAGGGCATTAACGACACATTTAGTTCAATTCAACAGCAAGATCAGATCCTCCTGAAGTCGATGGTGGTCGATTGGGCGTGTCAGTACCAGGTAGCAGATTGTGTGCCCCAGGCCTTGGCCTACTACCACAACTGGAGATCGGAGGTAAATCCCGATGGGAATAACCCAGTTCCGATTAATGTGCGAAACACTGTTTACTGCACTTTGATAAGGCTTGGATCCGATGAGGATTGGGAGTTCCTGTGGACGCGTTACAAAAATTCGAATGTGGCAGCCGAAAAGCGGACCATTTTGACGGCTTTGGGTTGTTCGAGGGAGGTGTGGCTGCTGCAGAAGTATTTGGAGCTGATCTTTGACCCCAAGGAGGAAATTCGCAAACAGGACTCCAAGTGGGCCTTCCAGGCGGTGGCCAAAACCGACATTGGCTTCCTGCTGGCCAAAAAGTACTTTATGGACAATGTGGAGTTTATAAACAATTTGTAAGTATAGTAAACTTGTTAGTTCGTAACATTTTAAGATGATTGTATTATTTTAGCTACCATCAACTTACCAGAAGTTTGACTCGTCTCCTAGAACCCCTTGAAAAGCAGGTCTTTAATCGAAAAGACTACAATGAGTTCAAAGAATTTGTAATCAACTCGAAAAGGTCTTTTAAGGGTTCGGAGGAGGCGATTCAACGAACACTGGAGGTAATGCTGACCAATGTGCAATGGAAGGAGCGAAATTATGACCAATTCACCCGAGCCATTAAACAACTTCTGTAAACTAGAGATGAATTTATAATGATATCATTCAATTTCTTACGGCTAACAAAATAAAATTGACCAAAGCTAAAAGAAAAGAAAGCTTAACTTCATTAAAATGTGTTAATCATTTTTATATGTAGGTCAGAATCGGAAACGACTGTATCTACATCTCGAGATATAAAATCAGTTTCACCGGCCCAATAGCGAGTTTAGAAAGGAAGATTCAGGGAGCGGAACATAACAAAAATAAAATTCAAAAGTTAGTATTAAATAGTCAATTGATGGAAAAGAATAAAATGGAAATTCATAGAAAGAAAATCATATCACGTCCATTATTAATTTCTATTAGCAATCCCTTTTGAGTGTTCCTGTTTTTATATTACTTGAATACATAACACCTTACAATTGAGTGGATTATAGGTTATGCATAAGTAATGTGTGCTCTTTTATCATTTCATAGACCTGCTGTCACGGAGCGATTTTGTGCTAATAAAAATAATCACAAACCATTGAGTTGTTCTCTATTAGTTTTTACTCTCACAAACTTACGTGCTCAAAATCATTTTTATTCTGTTTCATCGTCGATTTGCAGCATTCGGTCTTTGCTCTCCGTTGTGACTAGAGGTGTAAGTTAAAACCCGTGCTAGAGCTCATTGTACTAAAATCTAACAAAAAACCATATGGCACACAAAATAATTATTTTGCCAGACTAATTTAACACCAGATTAAAGAATCCAGTGTGTGTTTTTGACAAAATGTGATTTTGGTAAATGTAGTAACATGAGAAGGTAGTAGCAGCACTTATATTAGTTACATTTCATACTACACTTTACTATTTTTACTATTGTCGCAGTTTTCATTTACAAATGTAATTATTGAGGAAAAAATGATTAATCTAATCGGACTGTGACCTTTATACTTAGTTGGTTTAATTAATTCTCAGTAATTCAGATTTTTTTTAATTACCATAGAATTGAACGGATTTATTTTTTGATAAGAATTTCGCAATTTGACATGATTTTTTCGTTTGTAGTGATAAGAAAACATCAATGAGTGTTTTGCCGGTGCCCATACTAATACTAATAGTATTACCTTGCCAATATACATTTTTTTGGTTTCCTTGCCATATGAGTTTATTGACCGCATCCATGGGAAAACAAGTTTGTAAAGATAATGTTATTGTAATATATTCCTGCCTTTTGCTAATCATGAAAGCAGATAGTAGCTTGAAATGTACAACGATTATTTACTTGGATCTCTTAATTGCAGCTTAAATTAAAAATTGTATTATACTAACATAAAAATCGACCATGGAATGGCTCTTGTTATTATGTGTGGCACTTAGCCTGAGTTTAGCAAGAGCTAATTCCAGCTATGACTACTTCCGCCTACCCACGGCGCTTCGACCCCAAAAGTACGACTTGCGGATCTTGACAATAATGGAAAATGTTGAAGATCTTCGCTTTAATGGAACTGTAAAAATTCAAATCGAAGCCCTGCAAAATACCAAAAACATAACGCTCCACTCGAAGGATCTGACCATCGATGAGTCGCAGATCACTCTTCGCCAAATAAGCGACGAAGGGAGTCCTGAGAACTGCATAACCTCTACAGAAGTAAATCCCACCCACGACTTTTATATCCTCAACACCTGTCAAGAACTTTTGCCTGGCCATATCTACGAGTTGAATTTGCCCTTCTCAGCCAAGTTACAAGAACAACTGGCGGGATACTACCGAAGTTCTTACGTGGATCCTGTGGCCAATGAGACGCGGTGAGAAACGGGTTGGGAAGGTATCTTAGAGAGACATATTCGACTTTCTAATGTTCTTCCAGATGGATCTCCATTACCCAATTTGAGCCGGCCTCGGCTCGATTGGCGTTTCCCTGCTTCGATGAACCTGGCTATAAGGCACCCTTTGTGATCACCTTGGGCTATCACAAGAAGTTCACGGGTCTCAGCAACATGCCTGTGAAGGAAACTAAGCCACAGTAAAGGATAATTTATAATTTATTTAATCAGAATCACAACATACATTTCTCATTTTTTTGCAGTGAATCGCTTCCCGATTACGTATGGACCGAATTCCAGGAGTCACTGCCAATGTCCACCTACCTGGTGGCATATACCGTCAACGACTTCTCCTTCAAGCCATCAACTTTACCGAGTGGCACACTCTTCCGCACTTGGGCAAGACCGAATGCCATCGATCAGTGTGATTATGCCGCAGAGTTTGGACCGAAAGTTCTCCAATACTATGAGGAACTGTTCGGCATAAAGTTTCCGCTTCCGAAGGTCGATCAGATCGCAGTGCCCGACTTTAGTTCGGGTGCCATGGAGAATTGGGGTCTGGTCACCTACACGGAGGGTGCTCTTCTGTACTCCGCAGAGTATTCCTCGCAGGGGGACAAACAGGATCTGGCGAATACAGTTGCTCATGAGTTGGCCCATCAGTGGTTCGGAAATCTGGTCACAATGAATTGGTGGACTGATATCTGGCTCAACGAGGGATTCGCCACTTATGTGGCAAGTTTGGGCATGGAAAACGTCCATCCGGAATGGCGTTCCATGCAGTTCCAGTCGGTGTCAAACATGCTAACCATTTTCCAAAAGGACTCCCTGGAAAGTAGTCATCCCATTTCGAGACCCATAGAAGTGGTATCGCAGATTTCTGAGAGTTTCGATGAGATCTCGTACGAGAAGGGATCCTCAGTGGTGCGCATGATGCACTTGTTCCTGGGGGAGGAGTCATTCCGGACCGGTCTGAAATCCTATCTAGAAAAGTATGCTTATAAGAACGCGGAACAGGAAAATCTTTGGGAATCACTTACTGAAGCTGCCCATAAAACTGGTGCTCTGCCAAAAGACTATACCATTAAGAGCATCATGGACTCGTGGACTCTGCAAACGGGGTATGTTTAAACATGAATTTAAAAGCTTTGCGAGTCAACTATAAAGATGTAAAACTTTTAGGTATCCCGTGATCAATGTAACCCGTAACTATACGGCAAGGACAGCTGAACTCACCCAGGAGCGCTACCTTCTTAATACCAATATATCCAGAAAACATCGGGATGGGTGCTGGTGGGTGCCACTGAGCTACACGACCCAGGAGGAAAGGGACTTCAACAACACGTCACCCAAGGCATGGATGGAGTGCAACGAGACTGGCGACAGTCTGCCAAGAACGATCAAGGATCTGCCTGGACCCGATCAGTGGGTGATTTTTAACAACCAGCTGTCATCCCCTTACAAGGTCAACTACGATGCTCAAAACTGGAAGCTTCTGATCGAGACTTTTAATAGCGATGAGTACCAGACCATCCATGTGGTCAATAGGGCTCAGCTTATAGACGACGTCTTGTACTTCGCTTGGACGGGAGAGCAGCAGTACGATGTCGCACTACAAGTAATTAGTTATTTGCACAGGGAGCGGGAGCTTCTTCCCTGGAAAGCGGCCTTTGATAATCTAAGGTCTATTAATGTCATCTTCCGACAGATGCCGAACTTTCGGTCGTTAAAGGTAATTTTCAAGAAAGGAAATTTTCCCTTACTGATCAATTATATCCACAGGGCTACATAAGGAAGCTGATAACCCCGATATATGAGCATCTGAATGGCATTAATGATACAGATTTTTCGATCCAACACCCAGATCAGATCCTTCTGAGGTCGATGGTGGCGAACTGGGCCTGCACGTACCAGATTTCCGATTGCGAATCCCAGTCGCTGTCTTACTTCCGAAAATGGCGATCGGATGTTAATCCCGACGAGAATAATCCAGTGCCGATCAGCTTCCGTAGCGTTGTGTACTGCACTTCTATTAAACGTGGTAGTGACGAGGATTGGGAGTTCCTATGGACGCGGTATCAGAAGGCGAATGTGGCCAACGAAAAGGAGACCATAATGGATTCCCTGGCTTGTTCGCTGGAGGTGTGGCAGCTGCAGCGGTATTTGGAGATAAACTTTGACCCGAAGGGAGAAATTCGGAAGCAGGATTCAGCCTCGGTCTTCCAGTCAATTGCCTCCAATAAGATCGGCTTTCTGTTGGCCAAGAAGTACCTAATGGACAACGTGGTCTCAATTTCCAAGTTGTAAGTTTAATTACTTGCTAGTGTAGCTATTAAAAAAAATTAATGACATATATTTTATTCCCTTAAATAATAATTTGTCTTCAGCTACCATCCTCAATATGAGTATATGGCTGAACTTCTGCCGCCGCTTTCCGATCAAATCTTCACCCGGAAAGACTACAATGAGTTTAAAACCTTTATCAGCAAGTCTAAGGAGCAGCTCAAGGATATAGAACAGGCAACCAATCAATCATTGGAGATAATTCTGACCAACGTGCAGTGGAAGGAGCGAAACTATCAGAAGTTCACTAGTGCCCTCCAAAAGTTCCTATAGTTAACATTGTTAATAAATTAAAAACTAAAATAATTTGTCCATTATATAAAAAAAAAATTTGGCAAAATAAAAATTGATTACATTTTTACAACCTTATAATAACCATTCATGGTACTTTCTCCCATTTAGACTTCAATGATTATGTGTATGTTGTATATTTCGTATATTTAGTTAAGCATGTTCTATAATGCTAATCAATAATAAACATAAATATAATTGGAATCAAGCGGTCCACACTTCAACAAAGCCGCTTTGTAATCAAATTTATGTGTCGCATTGAACTGCTGAATCGGTTCCTTATGTTGATCAGTGTTAATGTTATTTTTAATTGTTAAATGTAAACTTTACACATTACAATGTACACAAATCTTTGCTTTGTAAATGTTAATATCACTATAGCAGCGCTCTTGGAAAAAAATCGAACTGAACTAAACTAGAGTCATGTAATGCATGGAAAAACTAAGGCTAATCCACTAAAAATATTGCGTAAGTAGTGTGCTATTACAATTAATACAGATATTTTAATTTTATTACAATTATTTATCAATATTACATTACAATCGTGTGTGTTTTGTGAGTGAATGAAGTTTTGTTGCAGCTTGTCATATGAAAACGTTTTTATAAACTATGCAATCAATTTCATAACAATTCTCAGTTGTTCGCTTGATCTGTGTTTGTCCGCTATTTTCGATTCAATCAATTACTTTTCACTTTTGAGGTGTGTCATACGTTTAACAACTATTTAACACTTCGTATATATTTGTGTGTTAGCGTAGGTATAGCTCATTGTTTACAATAAACCATTCCAGTTACAATATGTATGCTGTAATTATTACAGATTTCATCGCCTGTCAGACACAAAAATCAACCGCCGATGCCAATGCAACGTGGTATGTATGTCCTATGAGAATATTGGAGATTATTCATTACTATTAATAATAATTACTATTATTACAACACTCGCTGGTTCTGCCATGCACTATTTTGAATCAAAGATTTGTAAATTTATTGCTTTCGCTTTTAATTTATGTACGAGTATATCGAAAACGTGTTGCGAATGTCAGTTACATTCAATGGAGCAAACAATCTCAACGTTTTAAATTCGTGTTTTTAAAGTGACGTTCGGTATGTTTATTAAATAACGATTAGAATACAATAATATAATGCCAAAATCAAATGCATCGATTGAACAGACTGAACTGATTGCTACTAATAAAAACAAAAATTATGTGATCTTCGGATATGGGAAGAGGGAGCCTTAGGGCTTTTGGAATTGAGGCCTCAGTCAAACCACTGGTTAGTTAATGAATAGTTATGCATGTAGATAAACGATAGAGCTTAGTACGATTACATTGTTTAACAAACAGACTTCTTCTTTTGCTTATTTTCTAGGCTAGAGACATCTCCAATCCAATCAGTATGCCGATGTAGGATTTGTCATTCAATATTCACTTTGACCGCTTCACACTGGATTTTTGGGGTTGGGAGCAACCTCAAATCTTGTGCGAGCCGCTGGGCACGTTGTCATTTGACCAGGAGCTCTGTGCCGATGGTGGCGGAGGCGTTGAGGATGTCCCCGGCTTCGGCGGTGTGGCTTTCTGCGGCTGAAGATCGAACCGGGCATAAAAAAGCAAATACGGAGTTATTGTAATCTTGCGAGTGGGCGATAACAGCTCTTCGAACTCCCGTTGGGTCATGGCCTTAATCTTATCATCGTCGCACATGTACCAAATGGGATCTGTGCCTCCGTGGGCGTAGTTCGCTCTGACACCACCGCGTCCCGTACTTCCGTAACCCGTGGGATAGGTGGTACCTGATCCTCCGAAGTTTAGATTGCTGTTGCTTCCGTTTTGCAAGGATTCCTCGCTAAAGTCGCTGCAACTGGCCGAGTTGCTACTGCTCGTCTGCTGGCTGCAACAGAGCCTCATGGCACAGCAGTTGACCCCCTGGCAGGTGGTGTTCATGCTTAGCTTTCCAATTCCATTGGTGATGTTCTTGCTGCTGGTCCCATTCACCTGCTTTACATTTTTGCTCATATCACCACTGCTGGAGGCTTTGCTGCGTCCGAACTTCATCTTCTTCATCAAAATGTTGCCCGAGGAGGCCAACGCCGAGGCAGCTGCAATGACTGGAGTGCTGGCCACAGAACTGCTTCCATTGTTTGGAGCTGCATTCTCGTTGGAGGCTGCCGCTTGTGAAGACATCGTTTGCGAACCCGTCATCGTATTCCTTCGATCCTTCGGACAGTTTACGTAGTCACTGGCCAGATCCAAGAAGCATGTGTAGGCGATATAGTGGCCCACTGTCAACGTGGCTCCCACATGCGTAATTACGCTGTATAGCTTGTACACGTGCAGCTTATTGCCTTCGCCCAGCTCACAACAGGTGGCGCAGAAGCAGGGCAGAGTGAATGTAGTGGGCACATACGTACTCACCTTCTCCATGCCGCCAGAAAATCGGTTGAGCTGGATAACCAGCAACCGAGGCAGCACCTCGTACGAGATGGACCTTATGGCCTCGGTGTAGCCGGTGCACTGGTTGCAGCTGTATTTGTTCTCGCCGCGGAAATACTCCTTCGTGATGCACGAGTTCTGGAAGCGGTAAGAAATTAGTCAACTCGTGAAATACTCTTTTTTGAGCTCACTCACCTGTATATAGGTGCTGGGCTTCTCCTGCAGATCGGCATTTTCGTACCCCGAGATTGGCACCGGCACAGAAATATCGAGCATGCCCTGCTTTTGCCGCGTAATCGTTTCACAGCTTAGGCATTTGGTGGTTAGCACCACAATGCCCTCAAAGTCGGAACTGAAAAAGTTCAGGTTCAGCTCGCGTATTCGGTCCTCCAGCCGCATTTTGTCTTTCAGCACTGTGGCCGAGTTCATCTCGTCATCGCTGGAGTATTTTGTGGCCTGTGGCGCTGGTAATGTAGGCAACGCAACACTCGGGGGAGCAACGCTAGTACTGGCATTGGCACTTCCGCTCGTACTGCTGGCGCCACTGAGATCAACTGTGTTCAGGTAGAACAGGCTGTTGGGACTATTGTCCTTAAGCGGCGACTGAACGCGCGTCGACTTGGATGACTTGACCTCGTCTTTTCTTTTTGATTTGCGGGAAAAGAACGACGTTTTGGTCGTGGTTATTTGACTAGTTGGCAGAGATCCATTGCCAGAGCTCGGGTTCTGTGACGCAGTGGAGTCAGTCCCAGAAGTCGCAGAGTCTCCAGTGTCGACCTCATCTGGGTTGGCTATGTAGCTGCGAAAATGGAACACATTTTTAAATCAGTATTAGGAAAATTAATATTTCTTATTTATTAATGTTTGTAAAGTGTACTTACCCATTTGCAATGACCTCGGGACACTCGCCGATGGCCTTAATCAGCGACTGGTTCGTCTCGCGGATGCAATTAAGCACACACATGAGAAACTCGTGTGCATCCTGCTGCTGGTTGCCTTCGAAGGTTGCATTCACGTTCTGAATGGCGTGCAGCAGCGTATCCGCGTGGTATGGCTCCGTGGAGTCAGCCATTTCGTTTCCATGCAGGTTGTTGTACAGCTCATGCAGTTTCTCAGTCACCGACTGATGAGTCGACTTGCTGGAACCACTTCCGCTAGTTACTCCGCCGTTGAGACCGCTATATTGATCCGTACTGGTGGCCAGATCCTTGCTGCTCCAACTTCGCGCGTGCTCCAACTGAACGGCACTCACATTCCGGCCGAGTGATGCCGACCTAGCCGTTTGCTGACGTACAATGGTCTGCTGCACCACGTTCAGGTCCTGTATCAGGTGGTGCAGGCTATGCAGAAAGTGTGGGGCAAAGCGCAGTGTGTACACCACCGAATTAAGGTAGCAACTATTGCCAATGTTGCAGAGGGTACCCATCGAAGGGGCATGGTTTAAGGCAGCTGCACTGCCATTCAGGCCAGCTCCCGTTCCCGAAGTATTGCTGCCACCGCTGGGCCCGTAATACTGATGGCTCTGGAGCTCCTGGGACTCGATCTCGTTGGATGTGGCTCCATTGCCCGATCGCGCTCCATTGCCCCCGTATCCGTTTGCCACGCGACGCTCATCGGTGGTCGTTTGGAATCGACGATCGTATAGTGACATCGTGCTAGTCCTTTTGCGGCTGGTCCGTGATCCTGCTGCTCCCGACTTTCCTGTGGCGTTGAGTTCAGCCTGTGCTGCCGCGATTGCGGCCGCCGTTTCCGGAGAATGGATCTCGATCTCTCTCAGAAGCTTGTTGCCTCTCGTCCGTTTAAGTCCCCCTGCAACGCGTCGCTTCTTGCCAGCGGGCTTTGGCTCCTGGGACTCTTCGACGCGGTTCCAGAACTCCGGCTTAAAGAGGTCTGAAAGAAAGAATATCTTTATTAGTTGGTGTAGAAAATGTATAATTTTAAATGAGAACTGACTTTGGATAAACGTTCTTATGGCAAGAGCAAGAAACTGCAGCATATTCTCTAAATTAACGTGCATTTTTTAAGTGACAGTATCTTCAAAACAAACTAGATTTCTAAAGTTTGACTGCATTTTTAAACGTAACATCAATTAAAAAAAACATTTATTAAATGCGGATTTGTGACGCACATAAAAAAGATTAAAAAAGCTTTGTGATAATCAAAGAGTTATCTGTACAAACGTAACCACAGCGGTATTATATAATTTTATGGCCACGCTAATCACAATATTTGTTGTGCACATGTGCTGGAGTGTTAAACTTCTACAGTAAAACCTAGCAGGCAGTTCTCATTTGTAATTTAGGTTGAATCCTTGCCAAATCCTACCTGGTGGTATGTATTCAGTGGACTCAGTGGGCGTAGGCGATGGTGGCTGGACAGGCGCTGGTTGTGGGGCGACTTCCGGCTGCTTTAGGCCAACTTCGAGGGAGTCCTTGGTCGTGGATTCCTGACGCGAACGTAGACTGGAGCAGCGCGAGGTGTCGGCGACATAAACGCGACGTTGTCGCTTCTTAGCAGGTGAACTATTCGGCGTGTTCGCTATTACACTCTCCTGAGTAGCGGCCACCTGATCGCAGATTACCACAGGATAAAGAATAGTTTGCAGTTGGTCCGGTTGATCCTGTAGAGCCTGGCTGGACTCGC